CAGGCCACAGCAAGTCTAAGCTTATCCCTAAGTAACAGCAAGGGGGTCTTGTAGCTATCTCTGGTTTAAAAAAAAAGGCAAGAAAGATTTAGGAAAAAAGTTACTGTCTGGGGAAAATCCACAGGAGTCAAAGAACTGTCCTGGCCCATGATCTGGTAAGTAGAGGTTTAGCCAGTGTTCCCTGGGTAAATTGTGGGGAGTTGTGTTTACAAGTCCCAGGGGTCTTCTGGACACAGAACTCTTTGGAGGCAGGTCACTTGGAAAAAAAATCTAAAAAAGCATCCTTTGATTTAAAAAAAAAGTGCTAACTGCATGTTGTTTATAATCACATAGAATCAAACGGAACATTCCTTCTGTGATTAACCTCGGGTATGTTATCAAAAACCTCATACACCATCATGCTGACTGTAGAGGGCAACACCATAGAAAAACAAATTTCTGCTCTTCGGTTTCCAGTTTTAATCAGAGAATAATGATCAGTGCATTCCTGGTCAGGTTGAAGGTATACAGCATGGGCAAAGTCACCACAATGAGCACTCAGTCTTTTACATATTTCCCAGCTGCCTGCATGAGCTGCATGTACTCTTTCACACAGTTCCCATTCTCAAAATCAGGTTGTAGAGGTTTAGGTGGCACCTGCTTGCCATCCACTTATAAGGCCACAAAATTAATGTCATAACGTTTAAAGTTGAAAGGGTTTTTAGCATAATTGCCACTGATGGCATTGTTATCTATAAAACTAATAACTGTCCCCAAAAGAGGTTTTCTTGGTTACTGACATGACTACCAGCTGGAATACTAAATACCTTCAAGCCCACCCTGTCCACAGAATACCTAGCACTGGCAGTCATTAGAGCCTCTACACAGCCCAGACAGACCCCTGGGGTAACTTTCACCCTGTGACAGGTTCAGTTACAGTGATCCCCTTGGGACTGTCACCTGATGTGCTGAAATTACCTCGGAGTCCATTTTCCCTGTCAGCTTGGGACTTCCAGAACCCTGCCTTGTTGAACCAGACATGCTAGCCTGCTGCAACACAGTCCCAGGGTCTGTGCCACGCCTCTAAAGCTGCAGACTTAAGTGAAAACAGCTCTGCAGGTTACCTGACTCTAGCACCCAGATACCTACCTCCTAATGGGATCCAAACCCCAAATAAATCCGTTTTAGTCAGTATAAAGCATATACAGGGTAAATTTATAAACTGTTCGCTCTCTAGAACACTGATAGAGAGATATGCACAGCTGTTTGCTCCCCCAGGTATTAATCAGTTATTCTGGGTTCATTAATAAACAAAAGTGATTGTATTAAGTATAAAATGAAGGATTTAAGTGGTTTCAAGTAATAACAGACAGAACAAAGCATGTCACCAAGCAAAATAAAGCAAAACCATGCTGGTCTAAGCCTAATACATTAAGAAACTGATTACAGATAATATCTTACTTTCAGAGATGTTCCAATAAGCTTCTTTCACAGACTAGACTCCTTCCTAGTCTGGGCCCAATCCTTTCCCCTTGTACAGTCCTTGTTAGTTCCAGCAGACATCTCAGGTGGTAAGCAGGGGCTCTCTCATGAGTAGCCACCCCTTCGCCCTGCTCCACCCCCTTTTATAGCTTTGGCATAAGGTGGGAATCTTTTGTCTCTCTGAGTCCCCACCCCTCCTTCTAAATGGAAAAGGACCAGATTTAAGATGGATTTCAGTATCAGGTGACATGGTCACATGTCCTGTGAGACCCCAGCCTCCATTCTTCCTGGGCTGTCCTATATATAAACAGGAAGGTTTGCAAGTAAACCGAGCCATTTACAGTTCATTGATTCTGAAGCACCCTTAATGGCTTCCACTTAATATGTCTACATCAGTAATACAAGTTTATATCTTATTCTCCTAACTTCAGACACAGAAATAATACATGCAAACAAATAGGATGAACACACTCAGTAGATTATAAGCTTTGTAATGATACCTCACAAGAGACCTTTTGCATAAAGCATATTCCAGTTACATCATACTGTATTCACATTCATAAGCATATTTTCATAAAGCATATGGAGTGCAATGTCTCACATGTTTTTCAGAAAGGGATGCTGAAATAATATGCACTTTCTAGCTCTGATTGGCATTCCCACTCATGAGGCAAAAAGAATCATTGCTATGCGTAAGTTTAATTTTAGTCCACACATTCAGCAGCAATTTTTCTTGAAAAAAAACAAAATCGCTATGTTGAGGCCCCAAAAAATCCAACTTCCTGATGTGGGCCATTAGTTCGGCCCTGTGCATAAACCCCATTACCCACACCATCCAAATTGGTGCTCTGATGGGCCGCCGCTGCGTCTTTCTGAAACCTTCCTGTGGAAAATTGTGTAGCAAGGGTATCGAGGCTGTACTTCAGAATCAATTCTATAAAGGCTCTGTAAGGGTAACAATTGTTACTCTGGCTGATAAGATGGTCACCTAAACTGACATCCAACTCGTTAAAAAGGGTGACGATAAAGTATTTTGTTAGGGCTACCATGGCATCTTCATCAATGTCTGACCCATCTTCTTTCACAACCTTGAAGCATATGTACAGCACTGTGTTGTGGAGGTCTAAATAATGATCCCTGTGTCCCAAAATAAAAAATTCTAGAGAGGCATTCACCATTAAAGCAGCCAAAGGTGGCACCTTTACATAAAAGCTATTCTTGATGTTGGCTTGAGTGGGGGCTATCTGAAATGGAGCCAATTCTGATTTGGCACATTCTTCAGAACTACAATGAATGAAAGCCATTTTGTATTTTAAAAATATATCCTTTTTACCACCAGCCATGCTCTGCTTCCTCTTCTGAGGCATCTTCTGACAGCTTTTTTTTCCTCCCAAGGGCCTGGGGGCCTGTAAATTGATGTTGTGATACTGCTTTTTCTCATCACCACTAGACCGACCTTCCTGTTGCATGCGCATGTCTACTTTGTTCATAATGGCACTAGACACATGGTTCACTATATCTTGATTATAATTTAAGCTGCTGTTTTCATGTGAGGCTTAATTATTTCTAAACCCCTTCTCAAAATCAGTGTTTTTCTAAAAAGACTACAGAATATCTATCAAAACCTGCCCCATACATGATGGGTAATCCTAGATATTCCTGGTAAGGCATAACGAATTTAGGCCTTGTAGTAGTTCCTACACAAAGAGGGATCCCCCTAATTTTTTTTTTTTTTTTTACAGTCAACATCCCTCAACTGGCTTGGGGCGCAAATGCAATTTAACAATCACCTTCCCAAAACGAAATGAAACTTTTTTACTCTGGTTCAACTATTTATTTCAATAGTGATGGTACTGATGTGTTGCTTACTCACAGGGGCATAATGCAGTATGTCATATGTGGTAGTAAAAAATTATTTGTTGCTGCAACAGTGGTATATAGTAGTCTCTCAGTAACTGATGTTCCACTATATCCAGGTGCATGTATAAAGCGTTAAAGCCCCCTGTAATGTCTGCAGGGTGTGAGACTATCTTACATTTCTCATTCGGTATCACTCCCAATTCCCCCCATACAAAAAAAGTAGTTTTCATTGTCTGCTTTTGCTTTTAACTGAATCCTTCTGGTCACTGCATTTTAAATGATGTTGACCTCAGGCATCTTGGGATCGCTGTTCATGGTTTCTCTGATGTTCTCTACTGAATGCTTGAAGAATAATCCACTTCTATATAGTATCATCATCACCTTTTTTTCAATGCTATCTCGAATGGTAAATCATGAGAGATTGTGTTCCATGAGTGACAATAATCAATTTCTGATAAAGCAACATCCCAAAGGCTTGGCTAACTGTATTGTAAAGTTGGAACTAGTATTTTGAGGAAAAGTCCCTGAAGATACATTGTGAGATAAAGTGACATAAAACCCTCCTTCAGCCATTTTTGCCCTTATTGGAGTTCTTGAGACGCTTTAATCCAACTGTTAAATATTTCAGGCCACCTTTTCCATTTCACCAGAAAACACTTGTTTCTCACCCATCCTTTCTTCATTAGAATTTCTTCTATTCTGCAAACATGGTCCTGGTTAATGTTTACTTCTTGTAATTCTTCAGGGTAAAAAGATCCCACAACTTCCTCTTCTCTGTAATCTTTAATGTGTGCACTGGTCTCTGCCCTTGTTCTAAAAGAACAGACATAATACATATTCTTTGGTAAAGATTTGCAGATATCTCTTTTCAAAAGCTCCTTTTGATTTAGACACCTTTACATGATCTCCTTTCTTAAAAAGCGCTCACATTTCCTTTATTTTAAAACTGTCCCCATAGACAATTTTCCACATACTCAGTGAGTTAGCATGGGAAACATCACTTGGTCAATCTTTGATAGTTCTGTGATAACTTCAGTTGTAACTGTATGTGAAGGCCTGCAGTATGTCAATGCATCGACAGGTGCTACAGGCAGTAAAATACCGACATCTTTGATTTTAAAGTCCTGTAAAACTTCTCCAACAAGCCCTGGCTTGACTTCATTATTGGTAACAAAATGGTGTACACCTTGTTGTTTTAACAAATTCTTTAAAGCTTTGTTTAAAAACGCTTTTTCTCAATCTGTCTGTAATTTTTTAGGCACCCAGCTTTAAACACCTAAAAAATAACTTTAAAACACCTTTGCCACATCTTCTCCAATCTTATGCTTTAGGAATATTGCCCAGGCGTATTTAGACAAAATGTCTATCACCGTTAAAACATATTTACAACCATCACTGGTTAGAGTTGAGGTCATGCTGACATCCACATCAGGCACAACCAGTTTATTTCTTTTAAATGTAATTCTTGCCAGTTTGTGCAAAGTGTAAGCATCTTGATCTGTAAGCCAAGCTACAACTCATTTTCTACTCAGAATTTTACTATGTTTTATTAGCAGCCTCATAGAAGGGTGTACAACCCCAAAACTCCCAACCTCCCTGGGAAAGCAATACATTTTCTTTAGCAATCCCACTATTTCTGACCCAAAACTTGAAGGCATATCAAAAAAAACAAACTTGGGTTGGTTTGTTTTTTATATAATATAGAGCAATGCACCATATTTTACATTAATACTTAAAAGCAGTAATATGTGAAGCAATTATACATATTTGTATTTTACATTTGTTTCGGACTGTGGGCCATGTACATCTTAATCAATATTCAGTTTCAATTTTTTTACTCTTTAAGATGAGGTTTTGTCATGTAAAAGGTTTTATAATCTATTTTACAAACCCTCTGACACACCATCTGGCCAATTTTTGCTGGCACCTTATTTCCAATGCCTATCAGCAGTGACAACGGATATGGTGGCTCTTCTACCCCCTTTATCATTTTGACAACTTCAGTTATGGTTCAGTGGTCAAGTTAAGCCCTTTGAGTCTGTAGCTTTCGCTCATAATTATACTTAGGATCTGTGCCACATTCAGTTCCGAAGAAATGCATCCAATCTGGTGAAATGTTTCCGAGCATCCCCAAAGTACACAATTGTGGCAGCACTGACTGGTTTAATTTATCACACAAGTTTCACAGTTATCTAAATGCTGTCCTTTCAAGCAAAGGTAAAGGATTTTTACTACAACAGCCCTAACAACAGTCTTTACAGCTCTGTTGGTCAACCACTTTACAGTAGAACTTCAGAGTTACAAACACAAGAGTTACAAACTGACCAGTCAACCACACACCTCATTTGGAAGTGGAAGTATGCAATCAGGCAGCAGCAGCAAACAGGGGAGCACCCCTCCCACCGAAAAAGCAAATACAGTTCAGTACTGTGTTGTGTAAACTACTAAAAAGAAATAAAGGGAAAGCAGTATATTTCTTCTGCATAGTAATGTTTCAAAGCTGTATTAACTCAATGTTCATCTGTAAACTTTTGAAAGAACCATAAAGTTTTGTTCTGAGTTACGAACATTTCAGAGTTCCGAACAACCTCCATTCCCAAGGTGTTCATAACTCTGAGGTTCTACTGTACTTTTTACAGTATTTTTTTTTTTAAATCTTGCTTCATGCAAAAGGAGCATGTGCATATCAGGTTTATCCTTCCCAAAGGCTGGTTCTCTTTATCCTGTTCATCCTGAAGTATCTGTCAAAAGCAAAGAAAAAAGTAGGGTTTAAATCCTCCATTGTGGTAGTTTAAAAATTAAAAAGGCAAAAAATTCACACATGCTACCTCAATCATACCCTCATCTGTTTCTGAATCATCATCATCATCCCTGTCAGTCGCATTGTCAGGAACTGAGTTTCTCTCCGTATCATCTGTCTTTGCTCCATTATTAAAAACAAATGGATAGCTTTTAAGCCTTGTATTTCTACCTCATTTTCTTTTAAAATGGTCTAAGCTGTCTTACCTCGTCATGTGCTTCTGGCTTAGATAGTTCTGAAGCTGTTGGCCACTTGCTACACAATTGGGTTGTGATCCTGTATGGTCCTGGCTTGGTTATCTGTCAAAAAAAACCCAAACCCCTCATTTCAAAAGCGTGATTGTAATAATTTTTTTCAGAATCTGTAAAAACGTTCAGCTACTTTTACCATAACAATGTCGCCATCTGCCCATGATTCATCAGTTACTGCCTGACTCTGAGCCTCACTAGCCTCTGACAATTCCACAGCCGCTCTGTCCACGTATATAAGGCTTTTCTTCCTCTCCTGCCTATAAAAAATATAAATATTTAACCTCTTATAATTTTTCAACAATTTGTTATAAAATAATACAGACCCTTCTTACCTCTGCTCTCGAGTCTGCCTGCTCCATAACAGGCAACAAATCTCTCTGTGCCCCGTCCTTTACATCTTTTTCCTCATTTACAACCGGTGACAACTCCATAAAGTCTCCCTGATTCTTCAGTTCAAATTCTGGATGGAACATGGGATTCGGTATTGGTGATTCCTCTTTAGCAAAATAAGTGTAAACAGGTTGTCTCTTCCGAATACATGCAGGTGCATTCAAAGACAATTCTAGCTTCTTGGTGTCTGTAGGCATCTTGTAAAAACATGATTCCTATCTATAGGTTCTCAATTTAAAACCCCGTGCAAAAAAGCATGGTTTTATACACACTGGTCAGACAATCATTGACTAGAGTTTTGCAGACTAATCCAGAGGTTCTCAAACTGTGGTCCGTGGACCACCAGTGGTCCGTGAGCTTCATTCAGGTGGTCAGTGGATAGTTCCCTCTAAGGTGAGCACCTGGGAGACCGCACACCTAATTAGTGGAGCCACGCAGGCATCCTGGAGAAGATGCACATGTAAGGTGAGGTGGTGCCCTTCGGGGGAATAGGAGGTAGGTGGAAGGGAGCAGTGGGGTGAGAAGAGGGGGTGAGGGGAATTTGGGATGTGCAGGACTGTGGCGGCCAGAGAAAGACTTTCTCCACCTCCAAGGCTGCGGCTGCCAGGAAGAGATGGCTCTCCTTCCCAACCTCAGCTCTGTGGCTGCTGTGGTGGGGGAGAGACCCCCCTCCTTTGCAGCCCTAGGTCGGGGGCTGCCTCAGCAGGAGAGAGAGGGCACATCCATCGCATTAAAACAAAAAAAGTTTATTATTAAATTTTTTTTTTTATATTTACAATGGTTAGTTTTACACTAGTTAGCTAACAGTACAAACAACATTTGGAAAGATCCCTAAGTGGTCCGCCAAAACCCTCAGCAATTTTCAAGTGGTCCGCAGAAAAAAAAAAAAGTTTGAGAACCACTGAACCAATCCATTCTGCGAAAGGTTATTTCGAAATGGCTCATCAAAACAGCTGTATTTTTTTAATTGACCAACACTTGATAACCACGCCTCAGTGGTCATGTGGGACATTATGATTGGTTCAGGGAGATGCATTAGATGATGTAGTTATAGAACAGCTTCTGATTGGCTCAGCCAAGAGGTGTGATTTGCTCCAAGCTAGCTGACCCTGGAATTGTTGGCATTTCACTAGAGGCAGTCACAGAGTTAAGGTGGTTTTCTCTTCTCTCTGCCATGTGATCAGTAACAGGCTTTCTTGCTGCTTTAAAACTCACTCTCTCTCTCTTTGTTCTTTCTGTAACAGGCGAAGAGGCTTTTGCTTTTCTTGGCGGTTCTCTCAATTTGTCTTGTTCATGTACTCTAAAAATACATGTACTATTCTTTATTTCAAAAGATATACAATTATTTTTCAGACTTTATTTCAAAATAACCTAAATGCATAAAGAACATTTTTTTCTAAAAACTAATATTTATTAATTTTGTCACACTATCTGGATTTGCTTACGACTGAGTGCCAACCTTAGGACAGACAGTCAAGAAGCAGAGCAGAGACCCCAAACTGGTTGTATGTTCTATATCAGATATCACCAACCCAGTAACAAGTGTGAACTCCTAAATCACTATAACAGTCTTACCATGGAGTCACAGATGGTCCCCTGGGGCATTCCAGTCAATTTTGCCACTCAGGCAGGCTGGCCTATGTGATAGATGTCAGTGCTTAATTTGTAACGAAAGAGGGGCTGGAGGTCAAAAAAATTTTTTTACATTCATAACTGATGCAGCAAGCCCAGATATGCTGAGGTTATGAACTGCCAAGCCTAGCCTTGGTGCAAATTAAGCATTAATAGATGGTCACTTTACACAAAAGATCACAAAATAGTCAGGTTACTTCCAGTCCTAAAAGACCAGTTACTTACCCCAGGTCAATGTGTACCTTATATCTCACACCAAAGACAATGCTTGTAGCCCCTATAGTAAATATCTAAGGATTTATTAACTAAGAAAAGAAATGAATGAGTTATTACAAAGTTAAAGCAGGCACACATATATACACAAATGAGTTACAGTCTCTAGTTTCAAAAGCTGACAGAATTGTAGTAATATGTCAGCTCTGAATGTCTTTTAGGGCTAATCCAGGTTAACCCTAGGAATCTTTGCTTCTGTTTTGTAGCTCTGGTCCTGTGAGAGTCCAAACAGCAAAAGATGAAAAAATTTCTTGTCAGCTATTTTTATATCTTTTTTTCCAGAATTCAAGCTGATGTGACAAGCCCTTTTGCACATAGCCTCTTCATGGGTTTAATGGGGCAATTAACCAACTCTTTGTATTGTGATGTCCCACAATGGCCCATTTAGTTTTGATAGGCCTTCTTGATGGGCAGGAGATGATTCCTCCTGACTCATTTCAGAGAAAATATGTTTTACAGATACAAAGCAAAAACTTAAATATTACCTTATAGTATGTGATAAAGATATTATAAGTGAGCTTAATGCATGCAACAACTTACAAGAATTTTCTAAAGTCTAAACATCAAATACATTGTTATAAGTCCAATACCCATTGTAACCATACTAGTACATAGGTGAAGCAGACTAGTTTCCAGTGGTTAATTTGTCAGCGCTCGCCTGAGGCCTAAAGCCATAGCAAGAGCAGGCAGTCCTGGTCGGCCAGTGTCACAACCTTTATTTCAAAAAATGAATAAAGATTATTTTTTCTCTAAAGAGGTTTGTTGACATGTTTGTGTTTTAAAACTTATTCCTTTAGTGCAGATTTAAAAAACTCTTTTCTGACATTTTTCCTTTACCACTTTGTGATAATCCACTTTATAAATTATCTAAAAACCTACCAAATTATTTTTCTCTAAAAATGTGTAAAAAAACTATTTTCTTCTAACCTTAATATGTAAAAAACCACACATACAAATCACCCTAAGTTCCCTAAAAATAAATATTTTTTTCAAAATAGCCAACCACACCAAAAGTGTGCAGGTACAAATAGGAGACATGGGGTGGGACATGAACCAGAAGTAGGGAAAGGGAGGAGAAACCAGTCAAAATTATATGGTGAAGAATGCTATAAAGTTTTTAACTACTAACAGCTTTATCAATCACCTGACGAAAACATAAAATCATCACTGACAAAGTTTGCCATTGACCCAAAAATTGAGAGAGTGGAATCTTTGTGGACAATAGCTCTAAGGGCTGAAAGCTTTCCTTCAGCAGAACCCTTAATTCTGCCTTGTAGTGACACCATGCAAAAGACAAACAATTATGATTTACGTATTTTAGTGTTTCAGAGGAACAGCCGTGTTAGTCTGTATTCGCAAAAAGAAAAGGAGTACTTGTGGCACCTTAGAGACTAACCAATTTATTTGAGCATGAGCTTTCGTGAGCTACAGCTCACTTCATCAGATGTTTACCGTGGAAACTGCAGCAGACTTTATATACACACAGAAATCATGAAACAATACCTCCTCCCACCCCACTGTCCTGCTGGTAATAGCTTATCTGGCCCACCTGTTGATCACTTTAGATAAGCTATTACCAGCAGGACAGTGGGGTGGGAGGAGGTATTGTTTCATGATTTCTGTGTGTATATAAAGTCTGCTGCAGTTTCCACGGTAAACATCTGATGAAGTGAGCTGTAGCTCACGAAAGCTCATGCTCAAATAAATTGGTTAGTATTTTAGTGTTGTAGACTGCAATTAGACTAAACCGATGCTTTTAAAATGACACATTAGATGTTTTCATTTTTGACCCTTCTGGTGTCACTTTTAACCATTCCCAAATACTCTAGTTATCCATATACATTATGGGTTTGCTTGAATTAGTGAGAATTAGTATTCAGCTGCCAAAACTATGGCAATTGAGCCCACTTTCATTTAGACTCACATTTGATCATGAACAATGCCACAGCAGAAGTCAAACTGTACCTGGGAACAATTAATATGATAGTCGTTTGTCTCCATATTCAAGCTTTCATAAGGTTCAAAATCATCAGAGTACTCCAGAGGAGGTGAAATGCAGAGTCTAGAGCCACTTTCTGTTTTAATCAGCACAGGTTTCTATAAAAAGAAACAAACAAATCACATCTTTCTTCTGTTATTAGCACACTAAGTAAGTAGTTATCACATGCTTCGTACAATGCTATATCCATGCATATTAGATACAAACTTTCAAATGTAACTGGAAAGATATTCCTTCCCTAAGTTTAAAGGGATACCATTAACTTAAAAATACTCTCCCATGTGAAATTTTATCTACTATGGTTACAAGTATTAGCAATGGCTGCATTTGCACTGTAGAGCTGAATCAATCGGATTGCTCCAATGTAAGTAGCAATGGTGCAGTGTCTCCACATTAGCCATCCTGCTCACAATGCATTGGTTAAAAGTGTGAACCTGATCTTTGGATGTGTAAGCAGGGGAATATCAAATAAGAACAGGGTGGTAGCATTACTTCTGTATTGTCAATAGGGAGCCTATTATTGGATACTGTGTCCAGTTCTGGCGTGAACACTTCAAAGAGGATGTTGAAAAAATTAGAGAGGGTGTGGAAAAGAGTCCCAAGGTGTGAATCAAGGTTGGGAAATCATGCTTGATAGTGACAAACTTAAAATGCTCAATCTATTTAGTTTACCCAAGAGAAGGTTAAGTGGTGACTTGATCATGGTCCACAAGTACCTACAAAGGGGAGGGGGAAAGAAATTTTTGATAGCAGAGGGCTCTTTAATTTAGCAGACAAGAAAGATAAGACAATCCAATGGCTGCAAGTTAAAGCTAGACAAATTCAGATTAGAAATAAAGTACAAATGCTTAACAGTGAGGGTAATTAACCATTAAAGCAATTATGTAGGGATGCAGTAGATTCCCTATCATGTGAAGTTTAGTGAACTATCTTCACTTTATTTTTAAATACCATTTGACATCACAAGAGAAAAGCAGCTTCCCGAAAAGAAAGTAATGGAACAGATTGCTAGAAACCTGCTAGTTGACATTTATCTAATTTATGACAAGTTACTTAAGTTCATTACATATCAAAGTCACTTAAATAGAAAAATAGTGTAGTATGTTGGAATAGCTCAGTGCTTTGCACAATTCACATGTATGAAATTATCAGCACAAATAGGATTTAAACTATGTTCTGTACAGTCCTCAACTTTATTACACACTATAAACTTCAAATGTATAAGGAAATTTTATAGCTTGAACCCAGGAATGACTAATGATGTTAGGGCTACTTGTACTTAAAGTTAAGCATGTACTTAAGTGCTTTGTTGGTCAAAGTCTAAAACTCATTACTTTTAGAGCCAAATTCCTCCCAGCCTTTCCATAGTTACTGGGGAAAAGCTGAATAGAGAAGCTACATTCAGTGTCCAAACTGTGTGTCATAACTGTACTCCATTAGGATTCTCTGTCAAATTGCAAGAAGTCACCCAAACAGCTCTATGTAGATGTATTCCAGCTGTCTCCAAAGTAGGAAACTAAATTAATAAGGGACTTCAGACTATAAAGTTGATATAAAGTTCCCATATGGTGATGGGACTGATATAATGTTTAGTCTAGATCAGAGGTTCTCAATCTTTTTGGGCTTAGGACCCATTTGTAAATGTTTATGACCTGTTGTGACCCAGTAAATAGTCCAGGGGCAGAGTAGCTGGGTGTTTTCCGTTGGATCCTGCCCCTGTGGGGGTTGGATCCTACCCAGCACTAATCCCACAGTGGTGGCTTCTGTGCTGTGGGGCTGTTTGGGCTTGGCTCTTCACTCTAGGCATTGCAACCTCCGGGGTTTCAGCACCACTCAGGTCTGGCCCTCCCTCTGACTGGACCAAATTTGTGAGCGAAGTTGTGACCTGACTCATGGGGTTGCAACGTCACTCACTCAAATTTGGCCTACCCGGGCTCCTGTCATCACAATACCGGGGCCAAACTTGAGTGGTGCTTGGACCCCAGAGGTTGCAGTGCCTGGAACAGGGAGACGAGCCCAGCCACCCCCTTGGGATGGGAGCTGCCACGTGACCCTTTGAAACATTCTGGGGACCCAATTTTGGGTCCCGACCCCCAGGTTGAGAAACCTTGGTGTAGGCTGCTCAGCTATCTTACCAGACATTTTAGAGGAAAAGACTGTCAGGTTTTTAGATCAGAGAAACTACTCTATGGGAAAATATGCTAAAGGTGTCCCTGTACCTATTGATAGTGACTGTGTCAAAATAATAATAAAAAAATAAATAATTTAAAAAAAATTATGGGCCAAATGTGCAAAGTGTGATGAACAGATACAAGGTCTGGTAGTAAGAAAGAAACAGTTTAGAAATGCATACTGCTGATGACAAGGACGATATATATATAAAAAAACCCATACAGGTGGCTCCCTAGGGAGATGGTTAGTTGTGGCCTCTCACAAGATAATAGGTTACTAGCAATATTTTATAATTTCAATATAACACAGTACTGAACATTTTGCTGAAAGTATAAACCTAATAAAGAAAAAGTTTTGTTTTTAAAAAATGTGTAGCAAGCTGCTCTCTGTGGTTGGATTTAATTTCGTTCGAGTAATGTTCCTTACACAGGATCTGATCCTGTTCCCATTAGTGCTAAAACTCCCAGGAATTTCAGTGAAACAGGTGTATGTACTATATTTTGAAGAAGTATAGTACAAAATTGATATATCAAAAATGAAGGCTGAAGAGATTTGTTAAGGCAAGTCACTGCTTGAGCGAGATGTACAAGTTATCAAGTTTATATCTATATGAATAATTGAAATCAGTTATTTCAATCATCTTGCTTAGAATCAATCCAGGCTGGAACTGTAAAATTTACAAATTTGATTAATTCTATAGCCTGTTCATACAGGAGGTCAGACTACATGAGCACAATGGTCCCTTCTGGCCTTAAAATCTGTGATAATAAGCAGATTAAGTCACTGAAGGAAGATAATATAGCAGGCAAACAAACATTACGTTCATACTTCCACAAACTGGTTCCTGCAGCAATATGTTCTTTCTGCTCCTGATCTAATCAATCATCCCTTTTTCTGCTGTTCCCCCCTTCCCCACACCCCAACAACCTGAGGTGGAAATCACGTTCCCTCTTCTTTCCATAGGGATCCTATTAAAAATATTAGCTGTCTGGGGCATACACACTTCCTCTGAACCATGTCATAGCTACTACTGCAACTGGTGTCAAACTAAAACTTCCAGGGAAACGTTGTAAAATGTCATAGCTCAAGACATCTTACTGCACACACAGCCTACTGAATTCTGATAAACTGATCACCTGCAAGATTTTTTTAAAAATACTTTTTTTCCCGTGGAGTAAACAAGTGCGGGGCTGATGACCACTGTCCTCTCATGGGGAAGCAATATCCACTACCAGTACATGCTGCTCTTTTTCTTTAATTCAATAATGTAAGAATTCCCTACTGACTACTGCTCAGGCTAGAGGAACTGCACAGTGTGTCTCCCTGTATATCTGTGTAACACTGCAGAACTAAGGGCTGTAGGTAGGGTCAGGAAAGGGCCTCCCAACAAACTTGTTGCTGCCCCAATACAGTTCACCAAGGATGCATTCTTCCCTGCCACGCCATACCTGACGCCATCCTTTACGTTGGATTTTGCTTGGTGCAGTCTGCGTGCTGCGTCCTTGCAGTTCAATTTCTTTTACTTGGGCTGGCGTACCAGAATCTGAAACAGGAATTAGGAACAATCTAATTGACAACACATATCCTCTTTGGAGTTCTTTCAGAAAGTTTATAAGGCTCCCCAGGTCTGACACTTTTTTGATTCCAATGTCAAACAAAAAGTTAAACACAAGTTTGATGCTCCCTGGGGGTACCCAGGTTTGTGAGAAACCTTGCTTCCACCTGCCCTTAGCATGAGTGAACAGTGTTTGTGCCTGTTCGGGATCAGTGCCCTGATCCACTGGCTACTGGCAACACTAGCAACTACCTCCATAGGCTCCACTTTCTTTACAGGTTAGTGACAGGCACGCACCAACCGAAGAATCCTTCAAGTATCCACTTGTAGTCTTCAGTCCCTGCCCAACTGGACACTCACAGAATTACCAGGCCCACTGATCCCAAAGGAACAGTATACCACTGCTTACTAGTTCACCTTGGAACACAGCTTTGCTTAGCACACACCACTTAGATTTGTTTATAGGAAAAGTATGTATATGTTTATTGAACAAAAGGTGGAGATTCATACAACAGCACACAGAAATTTTGGAAACAAAGTGTTACAAAACTGGGTCTTTTTAGGTCCCTCAGCCGGACATCAATTCTGGGCAAGATAGTGAAGTGGCTAATATGGGACTCGATTAATAAAGAAAAATACCAATCAACATGGGTTTATGGAAAATAGATCCTGTCAAACTAACTTGATTTTTGTTATGAGCTTACAAGTTTGGTTATAAAGGTAATAGTGTAACGGTCTCCACCTTCTGGGGGTACATATTAACACCCTCTGGGGGGGAGGATGTAACTCAAAAATCCTGTAGAGGACTGGTCAAAAGTACATTTTTCCAACTTTGCAAACAGGCCATGCTTTTGTAGCCTTTCCAGGATGGAATGAACGTGGTAACAATGCTCCTCAAGACTGACATACTTGTGTTTTCAGACATCAGGATAGAGGACTACATACTGATCCAGGATGTCTCTAAATATGTGTCATTCACAAAGTGTTGCAAAAGGTTGCAGGACCATTGGTCAACCTGAATGGCATTACTAAATAGTTGAAGTGCTCATAGCAGGTTCAAAATGTGGTCTTCCGTTCGTCCCCTGACCTGATGTGCATTAAGTTGAAGACTTTGGCAGACTGCACACGATCTACTAATTCTGAGATTAAGGCACAGGATACCTGTTTCAGACCTTTACATGGTTTAGAGCCCACCAATCTACGCAAAGGTGTAGCGTTTTGTCCTTTTTCTTGACGAAAAAGACTGTAGCCCCTGCTGGTGAGGTGGAGTGCCGGATGAAGCCCTTGGCCAGGTTTTCAAGGATACATTCACGAAGGGCTGCCAGTTCAAGCTCAGACATTGATCAGTCCATAAGGGATCTTCACCCTGGGTTGCAGATATATAGGGCAGTAGTAGTTTCGGTGCAGAGGCAGCAAGTCCTCATTGTTCTTTTCAAAAATGTTCGTGTAATCCTAATGCTTTTCAGAGAAATGGGGACTCAAGCTTGGCAGTAATTCCTTCTGGCTAGCTGCCGCTGTCTGGAGTTCCCCCATAGGTGCTGTCACTTCTGACTGGCAGGAGCCCATAACCCTCTCCCAGTTGGCATCAAGAGGTCCTTGGATCACAGTAACACCTTGTCTTACTATGCAAGGTGGCATACTGCATTCTGTAAGTGAATCCCAATCAAGAGATGAGCAGGGAGGCTGTGAGTTTAAACCAGTCACGAACAGCATGTTATGTTAGGGAACAAGTTTCCTGTTTACTCCAAGAAGTCCAGTTCACATGTTTTCACCCCAAATCTGTTTGGCTTATGAATCAAATATACCATGGAGAATCTGTTTCATCCCACCAATATGCCTTTCACCCAAAATTAGAAGCTGCACATTGTATGCCTTCATGAATCAAATAAACTGGCTCTTCATATGTGGACAATGTCTCCTGTTCTATTGTAGCCCTAAAGAAGTGGTGAGATTTCAGATAAGATTGTATTTCGCCTTCTGTTCTTTAATATAAATAACTGAACATTATTTTAATGAGTCTACACTTTTTAGTGAGATCTCAAGAAATATTTTGGATTTTAACTAATGCTATCTGCATGGTCTCCTTTGTAAGTCTAAGCAAACTAAGAGATTTAAAGCAACAAACAATAAAACAACAACTTTAAGCAATTGCTTGATATTTTAAACTTGTCCCTTTCAGACCAAACCAATCAACAGCAGGGAAAACATCCTTAAAAGTGCCTTTAAAACAAGTGTATCCTTACTCCTTGAAGCAGGGGTGGCCAACCTGAGCCTGAGAAGGAGCCAGAATTTACCAATGTACATTGCCAAAGAGCCACAGTAATATGTCAGCAGACCCCCATCAGCCCCCAGCACCTCCCACCTGCCGCAATCAGCTGTTTCGCAAGCACAGGAGGCTCTGTGGTGGAGGGGGAGGAGCAAGGGCCTTAGTGGAAGAGGTGGAGTGGGGGCAGGGCCTGGGACAGAGCAGGGGGTTGAGCAGCGAGCCGTCGCCGCCCACCCTCCCCTCCCCGGCACATTAGAAAGTTAGCATCTGTAGCTCCAGCCCTGGAGTCAGCGCCTATGAAAGGGCCGCATATTAACCTCCGAAGAGCCGCATGCGGCTCCGGAGCCACAGGTTGGCCACCCCTGCCTTGGAGGAAGGCTGGAAATATAATAAATGTGGTACAGATACTAAAGAACTGAAGATTGAAGATCATAAGTAAATATAAGAAGAAATCTTGGTGATTTGTATTGTTACATGGTAGAACAGCTGAACCTCAGCCCCTAGTCTATGACAGTAGCTTGCAAGACTGTATCTTTTGTATGCAGTTACTGCCTAAAACATTGGTTGTATCTACAGTTTTACTGAACTGCTGATTGTATATGATATAGTTTGGGTGAATTAATAAGCTGTTGACTGGTTAAAAATAACCAAATGTCCTATTTTAGAAATACTGTCCCAGGTAAACATTGACCTGAGAAGAACCTAGCATTAAAATTACTAAGCTAAAGCTCCCTGGACTCAGTAAAAAGAGGGTAACCTAATTACATTTCATTCTGATATTGGCAATAACACTTCTCAAATTGGCAAATCTAGTTTGTTAGATTTCAGTTTTAATGTCCAAATGGCACCTCAGCAAACTCATAAAATCAACCCTCATTGATACTTATATCTTTATCAACCAAATTTGTAATTGCCTCAAAGAATGAAATTAGGCTTATTTGACAAGATCTATTTTGATCAAACCATGTTGACTGGCATTAATTATATTCCTATCCTTCAAATCCTCATTGACTTAATCCCATATCAGCTTTTCCATTATTTAGCCCTGGATTGCTGTCAGGCTACTCATCCTGCTTGCACTTTTAAAATATTGACACATTAGTATTCTTCCAGTCTCCTGGAATTTCCCCATCATTACAAGATTTATTAAAAATGAACCTCAGTGACCACGTATTTTCTTGGACAACTCTAAGTGGTGAATGGAGCGGTCCAGTGGCTGGCAATGGGGGTGGGTGTGCAAGGTTGATGATAAGGTGAAGATGCAGCAAGTGGGGCTGGTTGCTCCCTCTTCTGGTCCGTCAGCACAGCCCTCGCTGCATGCCGGCTCCCAGCCAGCAGGGTCCTGCCCCCGGTTCCGTTTCTGACCAGCACTGGCTGCAAGCTGCAGTGGCTGGTGAGTGCAGGAAGGCGCCAGGCAGCAGTTTGTTATGTGTTGCCTCTGCTGCCCACCCATTGGCCCTTTATGTGCTCCCCCTCTCACTGTCCTCTCCCTGCTTTGCCCCTTCTTCCCTCCCACCCCCCAGCCCTGCTTCTCTTCCATATCCCTCCCAGCAGGTTGCGTCCTGCTCCCAGTGCTGTGCAGAGATCTAGCCCCTGGTTGGAACACTCAGATCACTAACAGCCTTCTGGCAGGCTCCTTCCTTCCCCCACTGCCTCTGACTTGGCTGGTGCCCCAGGAAAACCCAAGACCCTCCAGCCCGGGGCGCTGGCCTGGAGGAGCCAAGCCCTGCATGTGCCAAAATCCCACACATCCCTGGCATGGGGAAGCCTCTCTGCCCTTCAGCTAAGTTCTGGAGTCGGGGGAAGTGATTTCCAGCCTGTTCACGCCCTGAATCTGTAGGCTCCACAGAAGCCCCCAGGACAGGGGCTTAGCACCCTCTTCACACACCTCCACCAGCCTGGGTCCTGTCCCCAGGGAGCGCAGGGCCGCTCTGTCCCCTAAGCACCCTCCCTGCTGAGCCACCTCTCTGCTCTTGTTCGCTGAAGCCCCTGCAGTCAAGTTCCCTGGGCCCTGGTGCACAATGCATCCTTTGGGTTTAACCCCTTCCTGCCCATGCTGTAGCCAGGGGACAGGAGGTGGTTGGGTTAATGTCGGTGGCCAGCAGCAGCTTGGAGGTGTTAGTGTTGGATCATATTAAAGAAGTTCTGTATTAAAATCACAAATGAGTTTGATTCCCCAGAGTTTAAATTCCAGGGTATTACTAATTAAGAGGTCTCTTGGTTTTTGGTACTGTTTCTCTCCCTCTATGTGTGAAACTTGCAAGCTGCTAATTGTGTTAGTACATTCTAAGACAGAGTCTATTCTCAAAGCAATTCACAGAGAGAGAGAGACTCAAAGCAATACTCTAACAACAGAAACAGCACCCAGAGACTCCCCACCCTTTTGTTGTATTAACAATTGTGATTAAAATAGAGATAGAGGATGTATGTGGATGGATGCTTGGTGTGGATAATAACTGAATGATCAGGGAGGTGCCAGCCTAAGAATCCAGTGTCCATCAGCTGAAGAAGGCGTCAAGTGGAAATAACCAGAGGACCCCCCGGAGGGCAGACTGGAATCCACCCAACAGCCTCAAGAATGGGAGAACCAAAGAACAAGATAGCACATTCCTGACGGCTCCAAGATGTCTATCTGCTGATTGATTCAGCAACAGCATGATGAAGCAATTCCCATAGACTGGCATAGGAAGAAATTCCTATAAAAATAGACTCTAAAAAGTGAGAACTTTGGGGTCTGATTCTGCAAACCAACTTCCAGGAGCATCAGATGAGCATCTGACAAGGCCCTGCTCCCTCCTCATGTCCAGGCCACCTGGCCAGTGGCTTGGCATGAGCAACTCTAAGGCTGGTAACTATGATAACAACCTTGCAGAACCTGTGTGTGTGTGTGTGTGTGTGTGTGTGTTTGTATGAATGAATGTGTGAATAAATATGAGATTGAATGAAATGTTATAACTAGAACTAACTGCTTACTATGATTCTTTCTGTATTCACAATAAATGTGGTATTTTGCCTTTTTCCCTTTAATAAGATCCTGCTGGTTTTTATTTTATTGGTACAACATTTGCTGTCTTTCAACTCTGTGAGGGCAGGAAGGGGCAAGCTGCTTTCAGACACATAGGAGCGGGGTGGGGGAGAAGAGATGAGCTCTGCAAAGACACAGGGCAGGTCATCCCTTCCTCCTCTCTTTCTCCCCTGCAGCTGGACGCAGATCCCATCCCTTCCTTCCCACACAGTGCCAAAAGGCTGCTGCTGGTCACATTCTGGTGTGAACCCTGGCAGAAATCTGGGGAGCAGGGGCATGTGACCCACATGTTGCCTCAGGAAGACATAGTACCAGGTACCAGGAGAGGCTGGTCTGTCCCAGGAGCCCAGCCAGGCCTGGAGGGCGGAGAACATCAGGCAGGGAGGGTCAGGTCGGTCGGTCACCCCCCCCATGTGAGAGAGGTGTACAGGAGTGTGTGTGTGTCACCTCTTCCCGTGTCTGTGGGGGAGGGTAAGGGTGTGTGTGTGTGTGTGTCACCCCTCCCTGTGTGAACCCTAAAGCCTTAAAGATAAGAAGGTAAATAAAAAGAATCCAGCTACGCAAGATTTCTTTTTAACAGGGTCTCAGTCAACTTGATGTTAATTTGAACATTTGGACTGCATAGTTCTGATTGATTACCATTGAACTCGCTTGAATACGAGTAATGTTACCAGATGTCCCCTATTACTAATGGACTGCAAAGTATTTCATCATCCTTAAGTGATATGAGTGCACCATCCTACTTCTTTTCAAATATAGAACAGAAATATTTATTGAACACGCCTTTCTCTCTCTCTCTCTCTCTCACACTCACACACACGCCATACCTTGATCTGAACTGACCAACACTTGAATGATTAGGGTATAAGGACAATGGCTACTAATGGATATGGCTTACCTCTAGAAGAGAGATTGTAGGAGGTTTGAGGCCTATGAATTAAGACTGGCATACCTGCTTTACACAGAGACACTTAAGCTATAAATAGATTGAGCTCTTTATCAAATAGAAAGTTAAGAGGTAACTTGGTACATAAAAAGATTTCTGATAGTAGAGGGCTTTGTATTCTAGCAGACAAAGGCATAATGATATCCAATGGATAGAAACTGAATTTAGACAAATACATAGGAGGGTAAAAAAGAGAAAAAAAGCAGTATTTGGTTACAACTATGTTGGTTTCAACACCTAGCAAACTAGAGCCCCAACTGCGTTAAATAACTTCAGCCTGGTTATGAACATGTTTAAGATCCAGTTTACCTTAAATACTGGATCTGTCTGGGGCTCCACTGAGGTATAATCAGGCTTCCTGTTAGGATTGTCTCTGTAGTGTAGTATAGACATTAGTGCTTTGATGAAGTGGTGTCATGGAGCCTCATTTTCACCACATTCAGCTGGTACTGTCTTACCACCCTTACTCCCTCACAGCTCACCTTCTTTAAAATCCAGTAGCCATGCCAATAGCTTATTAGTCTAATAAGCAAAGGTTTTAAATGGTGACTCTAGTAAGATATTGAGTAACTATTACTTTTAACTCACCATTTATCCTTGCAGTCTGCAACCCACATCTAAAGAATTCTTGAAAACTGGGTTTTCTGCGACAGTTTCTTGACTCTGAATTAGCTCCATTTAGATACAGAGAAAATCCTTGTTCTAAATGCTCTAGTTTGATTTGCATGGGGTCCTTTCTTTTCAAATGTCTCAATATCCTAAAATAGAAAGGACAGTAATTAATGTGATCTTCAGAAAAATATCTATGAATTAACAATAGATATATATTGCTGGGTTGTGGAACAAAAGAACATATTCACAATCTGAATCATAAAAGCTTCCAAGGTATAACCGCCCGGAGCTATTCTATTTCTACAGTTCTTTTATAGTTACAGACATTGTGACACCTATATTAAGGCTGCCCAAGCATTTCCATTCTAACCGATCATTTTTAGCTCCTTATACTTTTCTCAAAGTTTTATATTTTTAGCTGAAATTTAGAACATTTGCACTCAACTCAGGAAGCAAATTATTTCTGAAACTTTCACTCAAAATCTTTATTAAATGGTTGAGCTGTTTTCAAGAATAGACCAAAAAAGTCACAATTTTCTGCTAATAATTGTGACTTTAAAAATAAAAAACTTTAGTAGTTCTGATAGAGATAATGGAAAGCTAACATTTGGCGGAGAAATCATCCCAAGTTCCATGAGCTTTTTTCCAGCAGTCCAGTGAATATCAGTTTGGATTCAGCAAAGTTGACAGTTCAGTAAAAACATGTTGCATGTGCATTTATTTTTATATGCAGTAAAACTAATTGACAGTTCTCCACTGGCAGTTTGTACTGTATTACACAGTATTGCAACCCTGAAAGCTCAGAAATCATGAGTCAGACCTTCCTGCCCTCTCCCTGAAATCATGCTGTTGTCCCAAACATGAGTTTTTTAAAAAAAGAAGATCAGTCATGGTTTTTGTTCTGTCTTCTGATATTTGAACTCCTCCTGCCCACCCCAGTGTGAGTGCACAATACTTACAGTCTTGCCAACGCTTGCACATTTATCGTGAATAAGGCAATTTTGTCCCCTGCTGAAGGCCCTCTTGCTAAAGAACCCAACTGAGATCAGGGCCTGTAATGGGGAATACAAAACCCATACTGAGCTTAGGCAGGAGAGGAGCGTGACATTCTCCTGGTGTTATCTGGACTGGTGATCTGCTAGGTCACTCCAACCCTTGGCTCTGGGAGCCAGCCTTACCCTGCTCCACTGTGAGAACCCCCACTCCTGGGCTGTTCTTGCACAGCCTTTAGCATGTAAGCTGCTCCCAGCTACGTGAGTGAGCACTTTTGGCCAGCCGCTGCTTGAATTGTGCAACTGAATGACACTAGCCAATATCTCCAGTCCCAGACACAACCCTAGGAACCTCCATCTTGCAGTGTCCAGTTATGCCCACTGGACGCTGCAAACTTGTATGATTTAGTCAATTTAACAAAGAAATTGATATGTACCAGGCTTGTTATCCCCAGGGGAGTCTCTGACACTCTTTAAACCAAATGCACGGCTTCAGGCAGAACAAACAAACAAATGTATTAACTACAAAAGATATAATCACTTAAAATCTAAGTCAAAGCACAAGAAGTCAGATTTGGTCAAATGAAATAAAAGTAAAACGCATTCTAAGCTGATCTTAACACTTTCAGTGCCCTTACAAACTTAGGTGCTTCTCACCACAGGCTGACTGGTTGCCCAACCAGGCTCTCCCCTTTGATCAGCGCTTCAGTCGCTTGGTGGTGGTGTCTGTAGATGGAGGTGGAAGAGAAGGAGAGACTTTGCCATGCTCTCTTTTATCATCTTCTTTCTTCCCTCTTGGCTTTGCCCCCACCCCTTCAGAGTCAGGTGAGCATTACCTCATCGTAGTCCCAAACTGACCAAGAGAAGGGGGGTGACTCACTGGAGAGTCCAACAGATCCTTTGTTGCTGCCTAGGCCCGTGTCCTTTGTTCCTGGGAGGGTGGGCTGGGTTTGTCCCATACATGGCCTTATGAGGTGTGAACTGCCCCTCTGCTTCTGGAGAGTTTTGCCAGGGTTTGTTTTAAGCCATGACAACATGTTTTCAGCCTCATAACTACATACATGAAATTACAACCTATAACATTACTATAACAACAATGCTTAGTGCATCATGAGCCTTCTGAAGACACCCAACATGTAAAACTTTGCATTGGATACCACACAATCATATTAGAAGGATGAACATGGGGGTGCAGGGTCTTCCCCCGAGGTACAGAGCGTCACAAGGAGCATTTCCTATCTGCAGGCAAGCAGCTCAGCCACACCCACATGCAGCTGCCAGAGCTGCCTATCATGGAGGCGGGAACTCACAGCTGCAACCAAGAGAGGAAACAAGGCATACTATAAAGGAGGGAGTGCAGAGAAGGTTGGAGTGGAAGGCAGAACGGCCTTGGACAGCGGAGGGGCAACATGCTGTACCAGGCTCCCTCCCAGAGCACAGTTAAGAGACTGAGACATACTTCCAGACACAATCAAAGAACTTCCCTGACCATGAGCAAACTAAGGGGGGGTCCCAGTGAGGGCAGAAGCCACCCTCCAAAGAACCACACTCGGAGTCTGTGACAAGGCCCCATTATGCGAGGCAGTGTACAAAAAGTGAGAGGCAGTGAGTCAGGGCCCTCCTTCCTAGACAGGGCATCTGCCACCATGTTTTCTTTTCCCTTTATATGCACAATTTCCATATAAGATTTTTAAAGTATATGGCTTCAGTGCAGAAGCTTAGCATTTGAGCCTTTAGTTTTGCTTAGCCAGACCAATGGTGAATGATTTGTTAAGACCTTGAACTTCATATTGAAAAGTTAGGGCCTTAGTTGCTTAACTGCCCACACTATAGCATAGCATTCCTGGTCTATGATAGAATAATTCTGTTCAGTTGGTGTCAGTGTTTTGTTTAAGACAATTGTGTGATTCTTGTTATTCTCCTGTTTGCATAAGCACAGCACCCAGACTAATGTCTGATAAAACATCTGCACACAGTTCAAACATTTTGTCAAAATTAGGGTTAGCTTTTTAGACAAGATCTTTACATGAGATTTTCTTTATCTTATCAAATCTTTCCTGGCATGCTTTCATCCAAACAACTTTGTTTGGCTTAGCCTTTTTACATAAATCTGTGATTGCAGATGCATCACTGAACCCCCACACAAACCTTCTGTAATAATTTACTAGACCTATGAAAGATTGGACCTCTTTTTTGGTTTGGGGTACAGGCCAATTCACAATGGCTTTAACGTTAAAAGGATCAGGGAATATTTGACCGCCCCCGCACACACACCCAAACACACTGAAACAGTGTCCCAGATAATGAATTCTGGCTGCTCCAATTTTACACTTAGAGGTTTTATGGTTAGGCCTACCTCCCTGGGTTTTGACAGTACAACTCCCAAGTGTTCTTTGTGTTCAGCCCAAGTGTTGCTAAACACTGCAATATCATTCACACATGCTCTTGTGAAGTTCTGTTAACCATTTAACACTTGGTTAACCAGCCTCTGGAAGGTGGCCCCGGCACTAATTAAACCAAACAGTAACACTGTGAACTCATACATATATATCCTATATCTGTGATGAAAGCAGATTTTTTCTGTGCATTCTCATCCAAACCGATCTGCCAATAACCTTGAGGTAAATCAAAAGAACTGAGATATTTAGCTTTGCTTAAAATGTCCAGCACCTGACCAATTCTTGGCATGGGATATACATCTGGTACTGTAACAGCACTGAGTTTTCTATAATCAACACAAAATCTTAATGTGTTGTCTTTCTTAGGGACCAACGTCACAGCTAATGCCCAAGAGCTGTCAGACTAGAATTACTCCTAGGTCTAACATGTTTCATATTTCTGCACAAATTTGTTTTTTACCTTTCCAGTGGCCTTATAGGGTCTGCTGGGAGGTGGCTGTCATCCTTTTGTAATGATCTTATGAGTTAGCAAGTGTCTTTCCTAGCTTATTAGAAAATACCCTTTTGTATTCTTGCAGCACTGACAACACCTCTGCCCTTTCAACTGGTGTTATCTCACTGCAGATATCAATGCTTTCCAGAGTTGAGTTATTTTGGCATTCAGCTATTAAATCAATGAGGTGGTGTGCATGCTCAAATAAATTGGTTAGTCTCTAAGGTGCCACAAGTACTCCTTTTCTTTTTGTGAATACAGACTAACACGGCTGTTACTCTGAAACCTTTCTACACAGCAGATCATGTTTACCATGGCTTTCCTGCTGTGATAGGCTTTAAGTCTGTTTACATGTCCTAGCTGTGGAACAGCATTACCATGAGGCTCTAACAGAATATGTATCTTCATTTACCACTTCTACCACCTCAAAGAGTCCTTTCAAGAATTTTGCATTTTGTACCTTTTCACGGGGCTTAACACTAACACCAATTTCCTATTACAAAAGAGTGTTTACTAGTATGTTTATCATAACACGCCTTTTGTTTGGATTGTCTGACTTTGAGGTTAGTTTGAACAATACCCATCATGTCTTTTATCTCCTTTCTGAACCCCTGTACATGTTCAGTCACTGGCTCCTCCTTCACCTCAGTGTTCCCTTCCCGGGAGACTCTGATGAGGTCTAGGGGGTCCCCTCACTTTCCTTCCATATAGGAGGTCAAATGGGGAGAATCCTGCTGATTCTTGGGGTACCTCTCTGTAAGCAAACAACAAAAATGGTAACAGTTCATCCCAATTTTGAACCCTTTTGTCTGCATACATTCCCAGCATGGATTTTAGAGTCCCATTGAATCTTTCCACCAAACCATTGGTTTCTAGGTGATATGGGGCAGTTTTTAGTTGTTTCATCCCACATAACTTCCATGGCTCGCTGAATAGCTGTGCCATGAAATTTGACCCATGATCAGATAAAATCCCTTTAGGGAGATCTGCTAAAGATGGTGAGAAGGGCTCTTGCCTCCGTTTCTGCCTCAGTACTAGACGGAGGTACTGTTTCAGGAAATCTAGTGGCAAAATCCACTAGCACTAAGATATATTTATTTCCTTGGAGGGTAAGACGTGGCATAGGCCCACAATGTCCACTGCTACCCTTAGGAATGCCTCCTGTATTACAGGCAAGGAGCATGGAGAGATTTTCTGGGGTCCTGCAGGTCTTTTCCTTTTTTGACATAATTCACAAGACCTGCAATAATTCCGCAGATTATTCTGTATTCCTGACCAATAGAAATTTTTCTTCACCCTGTCATAGGTTCTCTGTGCCCCCAAGTGACCAACAAAAGGACAGTCATGTGCTAACAATAATTCCCCATGGTGTTAGGTGGGCACAAGCAACTGCTTATAGGGTTGCCCAGGGCTTTTGTTCTTTCCCACAGAAGCCTGTATATACAACCTCCCATCTTCTTCAAAAAATCTCTTCCCATCTTCCTTTCCTGTGGCTCCCACTAGGTCACACTTTTTTATGCTCTCTAGAGTATGGTCTGATCTTTGCTCACCTGCAAAATGCTGGCAGCTGACAATTGGGACAGCTTCTTCAATCACAGGGATCACGTTCCCCGCCACTGGCCCTGAGAGCATGCTGCCTTTTATACTGTTTTTCAGGAGTTACCCTCAGTCCCTCCCATACCTGGAGACAGCAGAGGAGTCAAAGAGACCTTCTCTATCTCCCTCAGCAGTTTCTGGGACCTTACCACTCCCCTCTGGGATCACAGTACAATATTCCCTTTTGATGTAAGTTACCATATTAATAGTCTTAACTACATGAAAAAAATCATTCCCAACAAGCATTTCAGTAGGGATATTGTCCACTACCCCTACAGTCAAATCACTTTCTAAACCTTCCCACTCCACATGCTCTTTAGCTAATGGCTCAGGAATCCTAGATCCTCCCACTACCACAAGCTCTGCCATTAGGCCAGGTAACATGTTAGTGTCTTGGATCACACTCTGCTTAACTAGAGGAATCTGTGCACTGGAGTCTCGCCACCCTATGCACTCTGTTATTGATAATCTTGACAACCTTAACAAATTTCATATCTAGCTCTGCAGAGCCAGCCCCCTTAAAACTCATCAGTAGGGCCCTACCAAATTCACGGTCCATTTTGGTCAATTTC